TATTATATATTAGCAAATTTTTGAGGTAGTTGGTGTGGCAATTAAACACTTTGAATCCCTTCAAAATTCATAATTGCGCTGCTCACGAGGCTTTCCGAATGTGGCGGCTACCTCCAGACCCGCCAGCAGATGGCTCCTCTTCCCTCTAGTAACCGATCCGCCTCAATTCCTATATATACAGACTTCGTCCTTCCTACCGATATCCCAACGTCTAAGGCAAGGGCCCGCTAGGATAGCGTGGGTACGCCCGTATAAGCGGCACTCAGCGCTACCTTCATTCTAGTAACTAACAGTTGCTACGCAAACCAACAGATTCTAAAAACAGTCTAATATCAACCTCCCAAGAGTATAGACGTACAACCAGTCTAAGGACGTACGCATAAAGTTAAATAAAAACACGTTACAAGTTAGTTAAATTAACTGTTTCCTTTATTACCGAAAAGCCATCGTCCCCAGTTCTCAGAGAATCCAATTTAAGAGAACATAATACCAAGCAAACCGCCACAATAGCCTTACTGATGAGTCCTCTAGCGGGCCCCGGACGAAACGTCATCCCCTCTCCAATTCTCTCTCTAACAACAGCCACACTGCACCGCGACTCGTCAAGAGACAAAGTCCGCGAACGAATAAAGGAGTTTTCCACCGCACACAAGTGTACAAGTAATTTCGAATCATCCTACCTAAACGAATTTCGTTTAAAATTCCATGCAAGAAAGAGTAAATAAATTAATTCAATGTTATCATTCAAGATCGAATTTACTGATATAAAATTACTCAAATATAACAATATTTTTGTTTGAACATTGTTGGAATCGTCAAGACTCTTTCATAGAGAACGATTGAATATATTTATTCTTAGTTCCAGCTATCATAAAAATAGGGAAGAGTTTAAATAAATTCTGTCTCGTCGTTCTTGAAAAGCAACTGGCGCGTGCTGCTATTTGGTATTCGGTTGGTTCGCTGTTGAAATTGAAACAATTGTACTCAATGACAAGCAAACAGAAACCCATTTCCACAAACCATTTATAACACGTCAAGGAGACTACAAGCGTTCGGAAGGTCTCCTAAAGTTTTTACCTTCGCTTTTGCACAAAGCGATTTAAAACTCTGCATCGAGCGAAAGTGTCGCATCGCGTTGAAACGGTCTGGGCATTTCGGATCTTTATTATTATTACCATAAACGAGCAAGAACTCGCGATATAATCCTCGCGATCCGCCCCGGTGTCGCGTATTATTTTCCCACGGGAGAAGAATACCGCGAACGTGTCAAAATCTCTCGGAACGTTCAAAACTCGCTTCGAAATAAAAATCGTGTAAAAATTCGGATAAAAGCGCGGTCTCGTTATTTTTACGAGAGACCAGCGGTTAGTCGGTTTCGGTGGTCGGTGTTTGGACCGTGAACAGCATCGTTGTCTGCGATCCGCGGGGCGACCGGGATAGGAGGAGCCGAAATCGATAAGGATGCTCTGGCACGGGACGAAAAAAAGTGGAACAGGCAGGGACAGAAACGGAAGGAGAAAGAACAAGAATGAGAACGCGAGCCTCGGCAGCGGCCACGCGGCGAGAAAGAAACAATCCATTCGAGGGTAGGTAAGAACTATCATGAACGGGACACTGCCATTATCTCAAAAATTGTGAATCTCTCTATAGAATAAATTTATACCTGTTTTACAACCGCATCATGCGTATCCAAGCACACCTAATTTAAAGCCGCTGCCAGTTGATACCTAACTGTGTCAGACAATTGAGCCGTTTATTTTGAAAGTGGTATAAGTCACTTTGTTTTTAAGTCGATATATTTAAGGGTTCGCGTTTTAACACGTTTAAAAATATGGATGCTAACTTTCGAGAAGATTTACTTGTATTCGTTATCTCAGGATACTGATATTTTTCTCGGTATAAATAATTTCGTATAAACATTAAAAAATCACCACTTTTCATTACGGTAAAGTGACTTATGCCACTTCCAAATAAACGGCTCAATTTATTCTTTTTATGCTTGAAAGTACTTTCCATGCTTTCTCTTTTCTCCTGTAACGTTGTATAAAGTACAGTTTTACTTTTGACTGAGTTTTTATGAACCTTTTTTTCTGCTTCTCATGTCATTAATTTTTAAGGTATTTTTATTCAGAAATTTTTGTTCATTTCTGTCTGTACGAAAGAAGATTGAATCTGTAAAGAAGATCGATGTCACTTAAGATTAGTACGCAATATTATATGTGATTACAATGAATAAACGAACAGTACTTATAAGATTGATATCAATATTACATTATATTGTTACATCGTCACCTACAATGCACCAATTCATGGATGGGACAAAAAGTAGTTCTTAAAAAAATGAAATATAATAATCGAATAATCTTATAATTAATCTAATTTTATGATTAGACTGCGCTACCTTATGAAAAATAAAAATTGTCGACAACGATTACTAGAAACGAAAATTAAATAAAAATGTATTGTTTCTCTTATTAATTTTGATAAATTCAAAATAGCGTAACAATATTGTCAACGTTATTTCGCCTAATTTTCCTCGAAAATGGTAAAACATATCTTGGAATCTCAACGGGAAACTATTTCTTGAACTGTCCTCGACATTATTATACAATATTTTCTTGCAGTGGCCTGCATTTGTCGACAACTATTAAATAAAAATATATCGATTTTCGTATTAATTTTGATAAGTTGAAAATAGCGTAACAATACTGTCAAATTCTGTCAAATCCAATTTTATGTTTCAATTACCCATATTCGTCATAAATGCACAAAATCTGCAGTCACAACTTATACTAGCTCGAGTCGAAAATAACTTCCGATGCGTCTAGGTAGAATTTATTGTTCGTGTCCACCCACTATGAGTCACCGGGACAAACGAGATTTTGCTTTCATTAAATAGATAGGCGTTCGAAATAAATGAAAGAAAAAAAAACAAAAAAAAATAAATACAGAGAAAACAAAATAAATGTCCGATAAAAGAACGAACGTTATTTACGACTCGACCTAATAATAAAAGAATTGATCTTTCTCAAACTAGAAACTATAGAATTAGGGTCCCATTCGTGGTGTCTGACCAAAAGTGTTCCATTCGTGGCAGTTCTCCTCTAATCAGAATTCGCAGCGAGTGCTGTCGGGAACGGGGAAAGCCTGCTGGAAAATTGCCGTGGTCCCGACGAAAGGCGAGGCTTCCGATTGGAATTTGCAAATGAAAATTCGCAGGACGGTTCAACCGGCGGACGCTGATCTTCGAGTGTCGGTTTCAGTCTGCCGACCGGTTTCGCGTAATTCCCGTCTGAAATTCATTCGGGATCCTTTATGTCGCCGCGGGGCGGGTGTCGCAGGGGTTTGCGAGGGTGGCCGGGACGGGAAGGCCGGCATTTTTCCGCGCGCGTCGCTCCGCTCTGGCGTATTTATGCTTTTAATATGTTTCGCGGTTGGTGTGCTCGGTGCCGCGCCGCGAATAATGCGTCTCGAACGAACTGGGGTTGCACGGGGTTGCCGAGGAAAGTAGACAAGGGAGCGGGGGGGCCGGGCGAACCGGTGGAAAGAATCCAAGAAGTTGAAACAGCCGTTTGTAGGGTAAGTCGGTTGGTCGGTGGAACGAGCGAGCATTACGGAACGGTTCGTTTCGTATGCGCCGATTCCGCGAATCGTCGACCTAAGTGAAATTGTCTCGGGGCCACGGGCCTAAGCGACGCCATTCCCATGATTCGGCAAAGCCGGCGGCCCTATCGTTACCTTCTAATCGAGAGTGCTGTTAACCGCTCCTTTCGCGCCGTTTCCCACGGATCGGCGACTTTACGTGGCTTTTCAATAAGCAGTCCCAGCTCACCGAATTCAATGACATTCGATTAGCACGCCGTAACCGTCCCCAAAAACGCCTACCGAATCACAGCAATTCGGCTAATTAAACCCGAGCCGGAGGACTCGCGTTTAACACGCCAAACGCGCTGCTAATTCGGATACTATCGAGTCGACAATATTTAGAAGCCTGTCTTGATCTTGATTACATCTGTAATTGATTATGGACGGTAATCATGGTGGTCGTTAATCATTCATCAAGTAATCATTAATTGAGTAAATCGGTAATCATGATTACTTTTGATAATCTGTAATCATTGATTAGCAATTTGCAATCGCAGACGAATGATTCATTTATTTTTTGTCATCACTTGCTACTGGGGGGCTAGGATATAGGGCTAGGATAGAAAGAGTTGAATCATGAAATACATGCAGATTTTCTAAGATTATTCAGAATTATCATCTACTATGATACTATAATACTAAATTTGTCAGAATAAAAAAAATATAATCGTTAAATGATTAATAATTATTGTGATAATCATGATCAACGATTATATTTGTTTCGATGACTTAAGTTATCATGATTACTTAGTAACTTTAATCATCATCATGATTACTTGATTACTTAGTAATTTGAATCATCATTATAATTACTTGATTACTTAGTAATTTGAATCATCATCATGATTACTTGATTACTTAGTAATTTGAATAATCAGCATGATTACTTGATTACTTAGTAATTTTAATCATTATTATAATTACTTGATTACTTAGTAATTTTAATCATCATCATGATTACTTGATTACTTAGAAATCGTAATCATTAATCATATTACTTGATTCGCAATCATTAATCACGCACGTGATTAGCAAAATGGCCCTTGTATCATCTTAAAACAATTCAAATCCTTTTTCAAATTCAATTTTAGAGAGATTATACCGTCTGAAAAGCTGTCTACATATGGATATTTGTACCGCGCCTGCATAAAATTTGTTTGGGGTCATAAGAGACCCCTCAGAATACCATTACAGAGCCAAATACAATTAAAATGTTGTTCAGAACGATCAGCTTTTTCTACTGGAACCCTGGGAGAGGAAACTTGAGGGTATTTGCTAGAAATTCGAGGGCGATCGAATTCAATTTGTCTCGTAAATTTAATTAGCGGCTACGGAGAATCGATAGGACCACTTACTGTGAAGCTCGATGATGACAGCGGTGGTCAGCGGCGGCGCCAGATGGGTGTTGTTTGCCTTGCAGTACAATTTCGCGTGATAGTGACTCCTCGTGAGGCCCTTCAGCGTCACGTTGCTTATGGTCACGACATTGGTCTCGCCTGCCAGCCCTTGGGTCTCTCGAACCTCGGATGGCGCATCGATTATCTGCGACTCCAGGTACCATGTCACACGGGGCCGAGGATTACCTGCGTCAAAACGGGCGAACGCCTTGAAATACGATTCTAACAATTCGTTCCTGTCATTCTACGAATCGATCCGGTCGATAATTACTGTGCCCGAATAATACATCGCGACAATAACGGGCTATTGCTTGCATACTTCTATTGTATGCATTCTGCGATACGACCTTTGACAGTGGGAGCGGATCAAATTGACCCGGCTGCTACAGTGACCGGAGAAGTGAATCAGTAAGCAAGAATACAGTTCGGATGACCGAGGTATTCCGATAACAGAGCGGTTCGCTAGTTATTATTTCCACTGTGTTCCTATTTATCAATTCGGATAATAGAGGCTACAGCTTAAAATGATTGTAACCGGTGGTGCGAGGAAACAGCTATTTAACCGTTGGGCGTCTGTAACCTAACAGCATCGATTGAAACACAAAACGAGTTTCGTAAGTTTTTTTATATTCTTATTAAGAGTTAATTATCTTGTTCGCTGTTCTGAAAAATTGTTGCTATCTGCTACTAAGGATTATATTATATATCTGCCGTAAGGATTACATGCTTCGTTAATTATGCTGTTTTCTAATTGAATTACGTACTCGTGTATACGGGATTGGTTCATACCAATCGGTTTACACCATTCACAGTTATCTGAGAATATGCTTGATAACAATTGGTATAATAAAGGTTCGATTATGAACTCGTACATCCGAGGTAGAACATGAGGTAGAACATTATGGATAAACGAAGATGGATATCTAGACTGCGGATTTTATTTCTGGCACAAATTGCTAGGTGTACTTTAATTATTATACAATTTATTTTATATAATTTATTTAATAACTTTATTTTATTTTATTTTATTTTTTATTTATTTTTTATTTATATTTATATTTTATTTTATATTTATATATACTTGATTTTTTGTATTGTACGATTTACCGAACTCATTTTGCGATAGCTACAGCAAATGTCGAGAAGCGATTACATAGAAAACAGAACATGGCCGATCATTTTATTCAGTCCACTATCATGCAAACATCGAGCTTTGGTTTTCTCAGTTCAGATTCAAGATTTCATTAACGCTATTTTCATCGATATTTCGTATCGCACAATTTACCGAATTCCTTTTCTGACGGCTACAGCAAAAGTCGAGAAACGATTGATCACATGAAAAACGTAGAACATAGGAAATCGTTACTGTTCAAAGTTATTAAAAGACGTCTTTTAACCCCTTTGGTAAAATTACCGTTAAATAGAAATCATTAAAAGTTGCCTACCAATACCTTCGGTAGAATTCGATTAAGTTTGCCGAAGTTAAAGTTAAGACTTAGTTAATAGTGACATACCGATTAGTCTCGCCCTATTTTTCTCGCAATATCCCGATCGCATGTCGGGCACGTCATCATGTGCCGGATGGCATATCAACATTTAATGACCACCCACCCCTGCTCGCGCGTCGATTTACGTAGACAAGACGCATGTGCACACTTCGAGAGACGCTATAGTTCTATTACCGAGGAATGCGAGCGTCGTTTGGGTTTAGGGGATGCGACCGTGGGATGGTTTCCATATCCCCTGGTGAGGAGATTCATGGTCGATCCGGCTGTCAATTAAACGTCTCTCGCAGTCTTCGCGACGTTACGGCGGCCTCGCGTGATACAGCTGGCGAAGAACGCGGCGAGGTTCTTGGAGGAATTACGGCTCGCGATTTCTGGCCGACAAGCTTGGGAGGGGAATAATTAACCTGGGAAATTAGGTGTCGGTGCAGGCGGTACATCGGGACCAATAAATTGACGAACGGACGTCGGGCGGTTTCCATTGCGATCGCTATTGTTGCGGCCGAGTAAGGCCCGTCGGTCGGCGTGATTGACGACTAGCCCGCAGCCTCTGATACACATACGTAGACACCGGGCTACAGCTCGGACTCGGACTCGGGCTCGGGCTCGGGTTCGGGCACGCGGACTCGATCCGCCCCGCGCTGTCCATTCCGATTGGTTCAACTTCGGAGGATTGTCCTAGCCGACAATCAACCCGTTTGCCACGCATAAGCGACGCAGAACACTCCGGCCGATGGACACGCTTCGCCAGAGACGCCGTGTCCTCCTTCCTGCCATGCTCAACCGTTCGCGTTTACCTTGTCGCGGCTCCGAGACGAAGGATCACTTGCACAAAGGACCCGGATCGCCGTCCCCAAAGCGATCCTGTGGCAGATCCGTCGGACTAATTCTCCAGACATTTTTACTTGCGTTCTTCGAGCAAACAATTCCTTAACGCGTTCCATGCCAAGCCGTTTTCGGCTCGATTTGTCGTTCGGGCCATTTGACGTTTCGACTAAAGATCGATATATTATCACACAATATTTAATTGCATCGTCAATCCATAAGTAGTTAGCTTGTTTAGAGCAGTTATCGCGTCGTGTACCATTTATGGTACATAAATTGTACGTTTGTATTTGTATTTGTACCATTTATGGTACCATTATTATTTATGTACCATAAATGGTACACGTGGTGCTGCGGTCAGTTCGATTGTAAAAATCAGTCAGTCCGAAACTCTTCGATTTGTAAAAAGAACCTGCTGTATTCGAATTTGTTGAGTAACGAACGAGGGACTGAAGCAGCAAGACAAAAAACTATAAGAGTAACGACGTTTTGCAGGGATTGCCCGAAAAAGCCATTTTCATGCATCTCTTGTTTTAACAAAATCAACCATATCATGTAATTATTAATTATTGTATATATAACAATTAGACAAGCTTATGTGCTTTGTTTTATACTGCACGGTTTTTCTATTTTCGATTGTACACAGTGCGACAAATAAGTTTCGAGACTGGCCGAGGAAAACGTCATTGAAACAAGATATATGAATATATTTCGATTTTTTTATTCAAAATATTCTGACCCAGTTCCAATACACTTGTTACAGCGATTCAACAGTGATTCAAATGCGTGTTCTAGCCCATTTGATGGAACTGCCTCTAGCTCTCGTGTTCTAACCGTCTTGATGGTCGAAATATCATTGAGAAAAAACTTCAATTCAATTAGGGAAAATTTATTGTACTGCCGAAAGCAACTGTCGATGGAAACTCTCGAATGGAAACGCATCATGGGAGAACAGCCTGCAACACTTTATTCGCCGGCGTCTGTGCAGAACGAACTGAGCAGAACGAACTGTGCAGAATGAACTGCACGCCGTCATATTTTGCGTACGCGTCTCGAAACGATGCAACACGCAGAAGTGGCAGAAGTTTCCGGTAAAATCGCGGGGGGAAAGAAGCAGAAGGACATTCGTTAGCGCCGCGCCGGCCCTGCAGGCAGTAAATTTAAGAAGTTTGCATCGACGTCGACGCGAAGTGGAAGCGCGCACGCGTTTCCGCGAACCGTTAATTGCAGCCAGTTTACGAGCGGCTCGTCGTCCGCGCCATCCCTCGCGAGGGGATCCGAAAAAATTCTCGCGGATGGAGGGAAAACTTCCGAAATGCTTAACTTTCATTAAACGTCCGATATTACTTTGAATAATGGAATCTACGAAATTAACGGGGAAAACTCTCCGACCGAACTTTTCTACGATTCGGCGAGACATTTCCTTTTTTTTTCGGGCTCTCCGAGGAATCCTCTCGCCTCCGGAGGAACCGAGGAAGATTACGGAGCTCCCTGGCGCGGCATTTTCTTCGAACCGGCCCCGCGGTGCACCGAACGTACCCGTATTCTCGCGACAAAATTCTATAACTTCCGTTCTGTTTATGATAAAGATATGAACCAGGGTGGGTTGTTTGATTTATATCGAAAGCATTAATTATTTAAAAAAATGGTTACAGGTTAGATGTAATTTTTAACATCATTTATACAATTTCATGGTTTAGTTCATTATTATATAAATTCAACTAGGAATTGATTTCATTAAAATTTAATTTAATTGGTTTTGATTGAGGGTGATTGCAATCAAATGAATTTTATTCTAGAAATAAATTATAATTGAAATTAATTATATAGTCTAACCGACAAGTTTGTTTTTAGATTTATGACAGGTTATACTTGAATTCCGTTAGAATTCATTTTAATAAAAATTTAATTGAACTGACTTCTGAATTTTCTAACTGTCAGGTTTTACTAAATTTTTGTAATTCCTCTTCGAGACTTTAGCAAGCCACATCAAATAGATTTGGTAGATTTCGCTGAGGTGCGCACGACTCTTTTGCACGGTACCAGGAGGATTAAATATAAAATAACAATATTAATATGTTCGAGCTACTGTTCTTCGGTCTATTTCATTACGAAGAAAATCCTTTCCCGTTAAGTACCCAACATATCTGTAACCGATATCGCAGGCTGTAATTTTGATGAGCACGTAAAAGTAGGATCGGAGAGAGAAATTTGCATTCAAATGCGCAACGAGCAACGATCCTTATGACACAGGACGTAATGAGGCTGTTCTTGATCCTACGTGAGCCCATTCGTTTGACGTAACGTTGACGGATTAACGTTATTCACAGTGTTCTCGTACTTGCCGCGAACATGAAATCTTCCGTGGAGGAACAACGAAGAGGCGGAAATTTAAACGAAATGAAAGGCAATAAGAACTGAAGAACCAGACATTAACTTACACTTAGTGAAATCTACTTGGTCATTAACTTACACTTAGGAAAAGTCTACATACACCGTAGAAGACTGAACAACACATTTTAATCGGACCAAACGAGTTGATTTGTGTTAAATAGTTGTAGAACTATTGGGTTGGCAACTAAGTAATTGCCGATTTCAGTTATAGATGTCTCTCACTCCCATTTTTATGATATCCGTAAATGTTATATTATAAAATTATTATTATTATTATTATGTTATTTTTTATTATCCGCGAATGTTAGCAACTGGACAAATTGAACGCAGCGGTCAAGGAAAAGCGACCAGAATTGGTCAATCGTAAAGGTGTCATTTTCCAGCAGGACAATGCTAGGCCGCACACGTCTTTGTCCACTCGGCAAAAATTGATGGACATTGGTTGGGAATTGATGTTACACC